TGGAGGCAGGGTTTTTTTTCTTTTTTTTTAAACCAACTGCGCCGCCTGGTAAACCAACTAGAAAAGATGTTTTTGATGCAGTTAGGGAAATAGGAATATGGACTAAGTATTAGATGAATGTTAAGGAACTGTTGTTAATCTAGGGTGCAAAAATGGCCTTGTGCTCATGTAAAAGGTGAAAACATTCTTACTTCTGAAGTATTTGTGAATGAAATAGTCTGATGTTAAAATACTCCAACAGTCGTTCAGTCAGTAATGGAACAGATGAAATAGGATGGGTAAAATGCTGATAATTACGGAAGGTGTGTGATGGATACCTGAGGATTTGTTATGCTGTTTTCTCTACTCTTATGTGCATTTTAAAATATCTATAATGGAAAATACTTTTTAATTTGTTTCATATTAAAAAAATGTAGCCCTTTCTAATCACTCAGTAATTAAAATTCAGTGTCCCTTTCCTTTGTATTGATACAGATAAGTATGAACATTCTGGATACAGTTTTTATTTGATGATTTTTAATTAAATAGACCAACTTGAAAAAGGGCAATACTGTGTGGTAGATTAAAACTGAGCTCTATGGGAATTGGATTCAGTAATAGAATTTGTCCTCCTCAAACTGGTTTTGATGAGATTCAGATTTCATAATGCCCCGCAAAGTATTGTTCCATTTCTCTTTTTCCTTTTTGTAATTTCCCAGTTAATTTTCTTCACCACTACCAAGAGTAATTTCATAAGATAGGCCTTCAGAGGACCCTGTTTTTAAAGCATAGCTGCATATCACTCTTCTTTTTATATTTAACTTAACCATTTGCCATGTCCGCTCTTTGATTGGGAGTGGAGCCAGAAATTGGGACTGGGGAAAAGGTAGATGCGCAGACTAATGTGAGACGTGCTTTCCATCCAGATTACTTCTGTTCCTCGTTCAGTCCAAAAACTTTGATTAACTTGGTCTGCAAGGAACTGTATAAGGCCTAACAGGGAAGATGAACAGGTCAGGCGAGGTCCTTGCCCTCTCTAGGAAAGAGAGGCTTGAGCTGCTGGGTTATCTCATTTGAAATGTAATACATGCTGGTAATGTCCAGAGTGCCATGAGAGGGGAGGATCTGGTCTGGGGGAAGGGACCGGGAGGCTATCCTTGAGTCTGAGGAGACAGTAGGAATGAACTATTCAGGTGGAGATGTCAGAGGACAGGGTTCAAGGCGAAAGAGCTTGCTTGCTTGCAAGGGTAGGGCTGAGTCTGTGTGCCTGGAGCAGTTAGCATTTTGGCTGTTATGCTAAGATCAATGGAAGAATAGTGAAGATTTAAAACTTTTCCTATGATACATTTCATGCATATAAAATATATGTGAGTTGTAAAAATACAGAGTGAGCACTTACATATTCATCATTTAGGTTAAGAAATAAAGCATCACCTGTACCATTGGAGCTTCTGGTTGCTGCTTCTCTTCTTCCCCGAGGTTCTTTTCTCTGAGTCAGTCCTTCATCCTCCTTTTTCCCCCAAGAGCAACCATTATCCTGAAATTTCTGTTTATATCTTCTGTATGTTTCCTTTTAGTCTTATGCATATACTTGCACTCCTAATTCATGCATAGCTTTGCATGATTTTGACCTTTGGCTAAAAAGCAGCAGCATGAGTGAATCTCAGTGTTGAGTGAAGATGCTAAGTGGTAGGAGCCATGTAGTAACCACGTGGAAGCCAAGTGGTAGCAGAGGATGAGATGGTTAGATAGCATCACCAACTCAGTGGACGTGAATTTGAGCAAACGCTCGGAGATAGTGGAGGTCAGAGGAGCCTGGTATGCTGCAGCCCATGGGGTCACAGAGTCAGATACCACTTCCCAACTGACCAACAGCAAATGGGTAATGGATTGGAGGTGAAGAAGAGTGGAGGAGGGAGCCGTTAGAAGCGTCCTGTAATGTAGGTGGTCGCTTACGGTTGATGGTTGTAGCCTCTTCAGAGAAATTATATACAAACTCATGGCCCGTTGGAGTCCCATCCCTCTGAACGGTTTGACCTTGTTGGTCTTAAGATGTGATGAGCTTGCTTCCTGCTTCAGGCTTGCTCTTTGCTTTGGAAACCTTTCCTCTCAAATCTGCAGGATTCTCTAGACTTACTGCACTCAGGTCTCTGTTCAGAGACATCTTCACTGACCACCAGCAGTGACCTGCCACCTCCCCACCCTTGTTATTATTTTCTAGTCTTCTTACTCTGCATTATTTTTCGGAATAGTTTTTTTTTAATCACAACCTGAAATTATATGCTTATAGTGCATCTTCCCTTGCTAAAGTATAAGATCCATGAAGGCTGGTACTTTATCTGTCTTGCCTAACACTATACTCTTCGTCCCTTGTTCATAGTAAATATTTATTAAATAGATTTGACTTGAGATTGGGATAATGGGATCCAGTCATTCCTTTTTGGCTGGCTCCCAAACATCTCTCTTGCTGTAAATTTTTTTCAGGGCTTGAGGTTAATGCCCAAACCCTGTCCTTCCTAGACATTTCCACTTGACTGTCAGGCTGTCACCTCAAGCTCACCATGTCTAAAATTACACATTATCACTCTTCCGCCAGTCTTCCAGTGTTGTTAATGCCTCCATCGCTGACAGTCCCAAGGCACAAAACCTTGGTGTTATCTTGCAGCGTTCACTAGTCCCCATCCCGAGGGAGGTTTATGTCCCCAGAGGGAGTTTCTGGTCACTGTTTTCACCTCTGCCTTCTGCTATTGACATTTTAGCCAGCCTTCAGGGCCTGGCTAAGATTCTTCTCTTCTGGGCATCAAGCTGAATTTTCCATCCCACCAGCTTTTGTATTCATGGTCTACAGTTTTTGTGTTTTAAACACAGTATCCTGGCTTACACTGTTACATTTCCATGTCCTAGTATTTTAAACAGTAAAACAAACAAAAAGTATTTACTGATTGAGTCACCTTTATCTCTGTGTTTTTTATCCCATTTTAAACCTCACCACGTGTGTTCTGTGCTCAGTCTTGTTGTCCTAGACCTTGAGGCTGGTCCCTTTGTCCTGTGTCACATGGAAGAGCTGGCAGCAGCATAGTTTTCCTATCTCCTGTCTTTTGTTATCATTGGGGCTGGATTTTCTCTGAGCCCATGGAGGCTCTTGAAGTTTTAAAAATGAGAAGTCATAAGGTTTCAAGTCCTGTGTCACATTGGAAATGTGTAGGGGCAGAGGAGTCTGAGCTAATGACGTTAGCGGTAGCTCTTTATAATTACTTAGCAACGATGCAGGTTGTGGAGATAAATTTGGTTTTTTAAATCATTATATTGCAATGAGCACAGACTCTTTAGGTCTCAAGATCTTCTCTGATTGCCTCCAAGCTTGTCTTTTTCCATCCGTAACTGACAGATGACTGCAGCACCTCTTTGGGTTTTGCTGACCCCACTGTCAATCACTGACCCAGGGATTGAACCCAAGTCTCCCGCATTGTAGGCAGACACTTTACTGTCTGAGCCACCCCAAAAAACTTCCCAGGTGGCACTAATGCTAAAGAACTTGCCTGCCAGTGAGGGAGACACAGAGACACGGGTTTGATCCCTGGTCAGAAAGACCTCCTGGAGGAGGAGATGGCAACCCACTCCAGTATTTTTGCCTGGAAAATTCCACGAACAGAGGAACCTGGCAGGCTACAGTCCATAGGGTCGCAAAGAGTCCGACAGGACTGAGTGCACACAAACAGCTCAGGAGTCAAGATAACCAATCTCTTGTGCTCATGCTAGTTCGCTTCCGTTGGTGTCGGACTCTTTGTGACCCCATGGACTAGAGCCAGTCAGGCTTCTCTGTCCATGGGGTTTTCCAGGCAAGAATGCTGGAGTGGGTTGCCTCTTCCAGTGGGTCTTTCTGACCCAGGAATTGAACCTGTGTGCCTTGAGTCTCTTACATCTCCTGGATGGGCAGGCGTGTTCTTTACCACAAGCGCCACCTGGGAAGCCCTAAACAGTCTCTTAATGCAGTATTTTTGAAATAAAAATTAACGTAATCTACAATGAGCAAAATATCAAAGTTTTAAGTAAAGGCAGAATCAGTGTTACTAATTTTTTTGGTTTTAAATTGAGGTTCCAGTATGGCTAGGCATAGCATTAGGCAGCGGAGAACAGGGGACCCATACTTCAGCCGCCACAAACTCCAGACAGTCATACCGCCTACATAAATATGGTAGAGTTTTTAGATTCAAAATAAACCTGCTGGCTATTCACACTTGCATATTCTTGGGTCTGGGGCAGGACTAGTGCCACTTTTGTGAAGTTTAATTATGTGCATAATTTAGTTGAAGTTAGCTTCCAGTAGTGATCTGTATATAACTTGTTGTATCTGATAACAGGATTAAAACTGTTTCCATAAGTTTTCAAATAATTCACTTGCAGTGGTTTACTGAGAGCAGCATTAGACAACTGAAGCTGTTTACCAAGAAATCTGAAAGGAAAACCTCATTCCTATATGCTTTTATGAAGAAAGACTAAAAAAGGGATATTAATTGAATACTTTCTGATAAACATTGACCTGGCAAGTGTTTTTAGATGACTAACTTTCTAATTTTCTCTGATGTTTCTTCAGGGTGCTGCAGACAGTGATTTATTGGGAGGTTTAAACACATGTATAATTTGTTTTAGTGAAGAAGGTCTTGGAAATACTCTATAGGATTCTCAACTCTGTAGAATGGAGTTTTATCTGTTAGGGGTAAGTCTAGGGGAATGGACACGATGACCTTTCTCTGACACCATGTGGAGATTTGTAGAACTTTGATGTTTTAACCAAGTAAATTAGTTGTTCTGACTATTCTGTTACAAACAGATAAGCTGTAATGTTGAACTTGATGCTCTTGCCCTTTTTTTATTAAATTAATTTATTTATTTTAATTGGACGGTAATTACAATACTGTGATGGTTTCTGCCATACATCAACGTGAATCGGCCACAGGCGTACATGTGTCTCCCCCGCCCCAGCCCTTTCGCTTTATAAATGACACTTTTAAATGTTTTAGGTGTACAGTGTTGATTGGAGCCAAACCAGAGGTGAACAGCTTGTGGTGTCTGGCTCATGGGATCAAACTGTCAAACTGGTATGTCAGCATTACTGTATTTAAAACCAAATATTCCCTTCCCCAGAGTGTCCACTGAAGTTTTTTATTTTCTAGAACATACTTCCCTTGCTTTTCAGTTAGACAGCTAATTTTCTTTTCAAAAAATATTACACTAAAGCGTTTATTAGAATTTAAAATTTTCTAGTCTTTGTGCTATAAATTAATAATTAGCTCAGCATTGATTATTTTGGCCTCTTAAATACTATATTGCTTTATATAAAAATATACTTTACATAAATCCTTGAGATATATGTGTATATTGTATGTGTATATACATATTAACATATATATGGTATATATAGTATATATAAAGCATAAATTTTAGTTTACTTCTGCTAAGTAATTGATCTGTTCCTTTATTTGTAGTGGGATCCAACTGTTGGAAAGTCCCTGTGCACTTTTAGAGGCCATGAAAGTGTCGTTTATAGCACGATCTGGTCTCCCCACATCCCTGGCTGTTTTGCTTCATCCTCAGGTAAATGATATTTACCAAAAACCTTGTTTGTGATGAATGGTGGCCTCACTTTCCCCAGAAGGTGGCGCTGTGTACCTTAGGTTTAGAGAAGAAAGCGTTCCTACTTAACTCTTGAGACTATTTCATTCTTTCTCAGTCTCTAGACAAGAATTAGCCACGCCTGCTTCCAACCTTTTGCCTTAACACGTACTCTTTTGGTGAGGTGAGACGTAAGGGACAGAGTGAGGACTCTGACATCGGACTTGACTGAATTTGGAAACTCTGAATCAGTGGTCGATTGTGGGACCTCAGGGTGATGTGATGACTTTTCTCGTCAGTAAAATGGGGCTAAGAATGTCTGACTTGTGGAGTTGTTCTCAGGATGAAATAAGGAAACACACAAAATGTCCTGCACACAGTTAACCTCCTTTGCTTGATATTTACCCCCCTTTTAGGGATATTCTCTTTAATTCATTGCCACTAAGCCATAGCAAGACTGTATTTGGTATGATCATTCTTCCTGTCTGCTTTTAGTTTGTCTTCAATTCTAAGACTAAGTAGATACATACATTTATATATCTCTCTTTTTTTATGGAGAGAAGTCATTTTATAGAAGTTTAAAAATTAGACTTTGTACCGTTTGCATGAGGGTTTACAAATTTGGTTCTTTAGGCTGATTCATAAATTACGTATAATCTGAACAATATAACACACGTGATCTGTAGAGAAACATCGCACAGCTTGTCTGCAGTCCATTTAAAACATGGGCCACCTGCCAAACAGTCACTGAAAGAGCTGTCCACCTCTTCACTCGCCCCTGGCTGCTCTGGAGCACCTCTCCCCGGCTGTCTGCCTCTCTCTCATACCCTGCAGCCCTGCCCTCACAGCTCTTGTACTTTCATTGTTTTACCATTTTTTCCACCAGCCTAGCCTGTCATACTTGTGTGGTCCTGGCTTTACATGAACAAGTTCAGTGGCAGGGTCCTCCCAGAGGGTGATGGGGAGAAGAGGCTTGAGACAGCAAGAACAATTTTCCTTTCTGTCCCTGGTTAGAAGGAAGAGTCATTTCCAGTGGGGAAACAGTATGTTGGAAATCAGAGTTACATTCATGTGGTTTAGAATGCAATATTAATTCTTAGTAGTATCATCATATCTGTCACACCATGACTTTTCACAATTAAATTTGACAAGCACAACTATTAATGAACAAATATGGTTTAATTAATGATTAATGCATGATTAATGGTCTGTGTTAGGTAGATCATAACCAGTTATGAATCTTTCCAAGTTGGAAACCAGTCTAGCTTCTTTTATTAGTTACTGAGCTGCTTTGGCTTAGATAGCTTCATCTTTGGTTTTATCAGAATAAGGTTGCTAAGACCGAGTAGCAGTTACAATAATGTGTAACATGTGTTAATTAATCATAAATGTTTGTGGTGATTGACAAGATAATATCAGCACTCCTTGTTTCTTGTGTAAGTATCAAAAAGTAAATTTATGAAGAGAAAACAGAAATGGTATCCCTGAAAATTTCTATTTGAGCATATACGTAGTAAAGAAATTCAGACAACACAGAATGCCAAATAAAAAGTAAGTGCTCATTCCCCCTCTCCTACAGAACTGCTGTTAATAGCATTTTCTTGTATTCCTCCATAAGAAGTCTATGCCCATTCCAAAATGTATGTTCAAAAGATTAGAATTATTAATAGGGAAGGTATCTTTAAAGGCTGAATTTGCTTAGTGATGTTAGGCTTTACATGCTCATAGGTACAGAACTTTGGTTGTTGAAAACTGTATTTTCAAATGTTTATTTCAGGGCAGCAACATGTTATAGATTAGACAAACCAATAATAACAGCCTTCTTGGTCTAAGTGATGTCAATTTATTCTGATAATAAGAATTCTGATATTGTCAAGGTAACAGTTATTTTAAGATTTGGACCTTGAAATGGTATGTCCCCTCAGTCTTTTAAATGTTTGCCAATCTGATGAATGAAGGTGATACCTGATTGTTGTTTTGATTCGCATATTTGATTACTGGGGAGAATGAACATTTTTTGTATGTCACTTTGGCTACCATAGTTCTTCTCTGAGTCACTTGTCCATGTCTTCGGCCCATGTTTCTACTGAGAGCTGTTCGTTGTTGTTTTTCTGTGTTGATGTATGAGCTCTTTTTATATAGGAATTAATACTCTGTATCTTATATGTGTTATAAATATTTCCCCATTTTTTCTGTCTTTTGAACTATTTATTATATTTTAATTTTTACTCTGTTAGTGTCAAAACTTTTTGATAGTCAAACTGTCAGTTTTTTGCTTGATATAGCCAGGTGTAATTCGGTACATGTTATTTAATTCAACCATGTTAATAAATAAATTATTTTTTTCCATAAGGCAGTTTGAGTCAGAATTTCTTTAACGTTCAACCAAAGATGTCCTGACTGTATGACCACTGTTTACATTAATTTCTAATACAGCAAAGGAAGGTAATGTCTTAAGCAGACAGTCTTTTTTCCTATTAAAGCAAGTGGACATTCTGTTGATAAAAGACTGTTTTTATAAACTGTTTACAAAGTATGGATAGTCAAGTTTTATGATTATACTGCTCACTGTCTACACACAGTTCATCTTTTTCTGCTATTCAGTCTTACACACGGAGTATTCTATATATAATATCCAGAGTCAATATTCTGTATCCACACTACACAAAAGGCCAGTGTAATACAAAGAGTTGTGTGTGTGACTCAGCCCAAATAAAGGGCTCATATATATACAATTCTGCCTGACACTTAAATCAACTGTATCAGTTCATGGGTTTGTCACTATCAGATGTATACATTGTAGGGGGCCAGTATTAACTAAGCTATCTCCATATCCAAGGCTTAGAATAAATCAGAAGGGGTTTGATCAAAGCCTAGTACTGGACCTGTGAGCCATAACCTATGTACCTTTAAAAAACATTGAAATCAGTAAAGCCGTTTTCTGCCAGCTTTTCTAATTTTGGAAACTCCTTGGAAGGTTTATTTATCAAGCGTTTGACATTTTCCTGAAATATTTCTTCATGATAATTTTCCAACATTAGCTTACTTAATAAAGTTGAAAAGATGTAAAGCTTACCTCCACTCTACAAAAGGAGGGTTTGTGGCATTGTAAAAGCTGGGGTAGGCTCTGAAACTCTCACTGTACCTTTGCCATTTCAAAAGAGACAAGAAAATTTGCTTCCCAAGTTGTGTGCAGTGCACTTCTTTGCACATTTTCTTTGCTTGAATTGTTTTCATGTATTTCCTATAGGGCATGTGTCTTCTTCAACATAGCTGAGTGCCTTACACAAGCAAACACTACAGTTTTTTGATTACTATTATATAAGCTATGGAAATAACCGTATTATCAAAATTTTTAAATATATTTAATAAAGGTTAATTTTGATTGTTGAAATCATGATAATTTTCCAACATTAGCTTACTTAATAAAGTTGAAAAGATGTAAAGCTTACCTCCACTCTACAAAAGGAGGATTTGTGGCATAGTAAAAGCTGGGGTAAGCTCTAAAACTCTCACTGTACCTTTGCCATTTCAAGAGAGACAAGAAAATTTGCTTCCCAAGTTGTGTGCAGTGCACTTCTTTGCACATTTTCTTTGCTTGAATTGTTTTCATATATTTCCTATAGGGCATGTGTCTTCTTCAACATAGCTGAGTGCCTTACACAAGCAAACAGTACAGTTTTTTGATTACTATTATATAAGCTATGGAAATAACCGTATTATCAAAATTTTTAAATATATTTAATAAAGGTTAATTTTGATTGTTGAAAGGGATATTGTTGGTGAATCATTCAGGTCTTTAGTGATCTGAATCACTAAATTAGCAACAGACCTGCTGTTGTCTGGGCACTGAAGTTACATTGAGCATGTAGTCCAGTGGGGAAGAGAGATGCTAAGGAAAAAAGCCTAGGGGCAACAAGGATGAGGAGCGTGAAGTTCTCTGAGAAAGAGGTCACAGCACAGTGGTTAGGGCCGTGGACTCTGGAGCTGGACTTCCTGTGATCAGATTCTCCTTCCACTGCTGCTGCATGGCTTCAGTCACACTCCTTAACCTCTGTCTCTTCATTCCTCATTTAAAAAATAAGAGTGATAATAATAACCTGTGTTGTGGAGTTTTGATGAGGATTAGGTGAATTAATTCAGATACAAGCGTAACGGCTTAGGACAGTGCCTGGCACAGAGTAAGGCCTCTCTGAGTGGTGCCTCCTGTCATTCACATGTGTGCTCAGGATTCCGTGGGAACACAGCAAAGGGTTCTGGAGCCTAAGCAGTCAGTTCTTGAGCTTGTCAGAATTGGCTGGTCAGAGCGACCTCCCTAAGGAAATAGTGCTTCAGCTGCTACCTTGTGAACAAGTAGATGAGATGAGAAGTGGGAGTAAAGCGATGAATGTGGAGAATACAGGCCATGTTGGAGGAAGATTTGAATCGTCTTTGCATGCGTTATGTGCTGCAAGGATAGAGTCAGTGCTTACCTGGGAACTAAAACTTTGGGAACCAAGTTCTAGGGTAACTTGCTCCAGGTAGAATCTGAAATGTGTGCTTGTATAATCACATACCTGTCCAGTGATCCTGAAACCTGCCCACCATCACAGTCTGTTGCCGTGGTTTAGTTGCTAAGTCGAGTTTGGCTTTTTTGCAACCCCATGAACTGTAGCCCACCAGACTCCTCTGTTTGTGGGGTTTTCCTGACAAGAATACTGGAGTGGACTGCCATTTCCGTCTCCACGGGGTCTTCCTGACCCAGGGATCAAACCTGTGTCTCCTGCATTGGCAGGCGGATTCTTTACCCCTGAGCAACCGGGGAAGAGGAAGCTTAAAAAAACAACAGAATGCTAGCCTTCATCTTAGTCCTACTGAATCAGATGCCTCTGAGAGGTATATTTTTTAATCACCCTAGCCGAGTCTAGTGATGAGCCTGATTTGGGAAACACTATACTAGTCTGTGATGTTGCTCTGTTTAAGATGTCTAAAGAATAGCTTAT